CTTGAACACTTTTTGATTAATGAAGTAGAGATCTGAGAAGCATCTAGTAATCCAAACCAGGAACTTGCCCTAAGTTTGTAAGTTTTAAATCAACGTGCTGTTTAAAGAGAGTTCAAAAGCTCTCATTAACCTAGTTTTTCCTCAAGAAAGGTCATGAGAGTTTTGACGTCAGCGACAGAACCACCCGCCCAACCGCCGGTTATTGCCTGGCCTCTCAATCCTACTGCAGGTTCTGACCGTCTTTGCTGGCTCCAACAGCAACTGATAAGAGGCAGGCCAAGTTCCCAACCGAAGGGAACATTTGCTTTTGGCAGCTTTTCCCTTCTCTTCCCCTCCCTGTTCCATTTCATGCAACGAACACCCCCAGAAAGAGGAAAAAAATAAAATAGACATTGCTTCGTATTTTGAAGTAGTGAGGGGAAATGAGTATTTTTCCCTATGATGCAACGATATTAACCTCAATCAAGTGCAAGTACCTGCTCATTAATGACTCTGAGCTTTGATCCAACCCAACACTTGCACGTCTAGCACGGGAGTGCAGCCAGGTCGCTGGCGGGAACCGCCTGGGTGCAGCACCCGCAGCCAAGGCTGCTCCAAGGCCGGACACAGGCTCGGAAGGGCAGCGCGGAGTGGGGCAAGGACAAGCGGGAAGCGAGCGAGCAACAGTCTGGCCCTGGAAATCTGCTCCAAATAAGGGTCTTCAGTCAAAAGCTGCACTCATAGTGGGGCTTCGGTTTTTGGAACACTCAAAATTCCACAGCAGCACTATCCAAATGGCACCCACGTGTCTGAAAGTGCAAACGTACCTGCCCAGCCTCCCCTCGGCACTGACGCTCCCCTCCTGCCTGCAACACTTGGCGCACACTCTGCTATTTTTTCCTGCAATAGTTGCTTACCTCCAAAATTTGTGCCCGATACCTTAGGTAGCAGAATAATTTATAAGCACAYGTAAAAGCAAAACTGCGCAGCTGCTCAGGGCTTGCAAAACTATCAAACAGGAGGGAATTTACTGCAAAAAAGAACAAAAAAGGAAAGCACCATCTCTAGTTAGCCCAAAATATAACATCTAGAGAGGCAGAGAACTGTGCGCTCAGAGCTGCAGGAAGCAAAGCCTCAGTGCTGATAAAGGGAGCTGTCAGAAATGTTGATATTAAAGCTTTTCTTTTTTTCAGTTCAAGAACATATGCCTTTGTGTATATTTGATTTTTCATTAATTAACCCTGCACCACCCAAACACATCTCGGCCTTTAGAAAGCATTCTAACAAAAGTTTTTTTGTTTTCGTTTGGTCTCTGTGTTATGACACTGCAGGGTTTGTAACTGGCACTCGTGTTTATAAAGCAGGAAAATTCCACGCATGGCGATAGAATAGATATTTTAACAATATGTTACAAATATTGTCAATTCAATAATTTTTCCCTTGCGTTTTCAAACACATCATCAATCTAGACTAGGTTTCTGCATGTGAACCCTGCTTACCACTGAGCTAGAGTCTTTTGGCATGAATGCAAAGAGGGYTTTTTTATAAATAAAACTTAGTAAAATCACTATACACTCCATTAATTCAGGAACACTCTGCCTCGGCTTCAAAGGGGCTCCTTACAGTAAAGATGGTGTTTCTGCTGCTTTAATGATTTGCTACTTGTTCTTGTCATAACTACACGAACCAAATATGCGCCGGCAGGAGCAGCGGCCGGGACGCGCTCGGTGCCGCCTCCCACCCGGCTCCATCCAGCCCAGTTCAGTGCATTTGAGGCTCTGCGAAGCTGCTCCATGAATCTAACACTCTGTGCGATGCCAGGTAAGGAAAGCGACCCTCCTTGAGCCTTGTTTTTCCTAAACTCCAAGGAACAATAATCCCTGCTTTCCATAACGTTCTGACTAGTTATGTGTACKGCAGGGAACCTGCTGCTCCGAAAATACCCCCAGCACTTCAAACAAAGCTGTCTGGAATGAATTTTTAGTAGGGAAACAAAGTTATTGCAAGCTCAATGAAAATAAATCTGTTCTTTTATTCACCCATTCAGGGCTGTTTTCTTCAAAGAAAAGAAAAAATCACTGGCAGCAAGTGCATCTGCTTGATGTTTAGTTCTCCCATGGGAATGAGCCCTTGGAAGAAGAGTTTTTCCTGCCCCACCGYGGCAAGCGCCATGCACAGGGCAGCAGGGCCCAGGTGCCACAGCGGGCCTGGGATTTGCTTTGCCATTAGCCCCAAGCCGGAGCCCTCCCTGGCAAGGGCAGGGCTCGATTTGCACCCTCACTTAAAGCCCACGTCCTCCAGCACCGGGTGTTTCAGCGTGGCCTTCACACCAAAACCAAAGCGCTTCAGGAACAAAGATTTAAGCCAATTCTCTCCTACCAGTGACCACAGTGACCTTTGGCATGTGCCCATTTCCAGGCATCTTTTGGGTCCGGGAAGAGGCAAACTGAAATGTGAGTGAATAAAGTTACTTGGTGCAAAGGGACATTGCAGCAGAGCCCAAACTAGGACCTGCAGCCTTGATCCAAATCTCCCTTATTTCAGCACACAAYCCCCTTGCATTCGTAGTTAGCCCTCGCTTTCGCATCGCTCCCGTCTCCCCCTTCTCCTGCGGAAGCCCCTTGCAGTACCCGGAGCCGCCTGCTGCCGCTCCCTTGCTCCGCTCATTGCCGCTGCACCAGGGCTGCTGCCAAAGAACCCAGTTGTAAGGAGAGACAAACGGCAGGAAGGAACCTGGAGAGGGGTGAAACGAGCCCGGCTGCCCGTGGATTTCCCTCTTCAGCCGCTCCAGGATGTGCGCAGTAGAAGGGCACGCGCATGCGAAGCCTGGTCGGTGCATGAAACGCACAGACAATCCACGAGTCACCCGCGCTGTTCAAACAGCCCCGAGGAACCGGCGGATACAGGGTTGAGCTGCACGCTACAGCCCACAGCCTCCCTCGGGGCACCCCTCACACCGCTCAGCTACACCCTGCCCAAACACCTCCCCAGCCCATCGGCAACACCCGACCCGCACCCCTGTCCTGTACCGACCACCAAGGAGAACACGGTGCCAAAACCAGTTCTACTCATGTCAGTGAGCACTGGATGCCATCAGGCTGGGATGACCTGAATGGAATTCTTGGTGTTTTGCCCAGCTCTCTGCTCAGGCAGCTCTAGGTGCTTCTGCTCAAGGAGGTCACAAGTTTTGCTCTCCCACTCCAGAAAGGCCAACTACACAACAGCTTTCAAAGAAACCCTCTAACCTCCTCAGAAGGAGCCTCTTCCTTCCCCACCAAACTCTTCCGGGTGGTGGCCGTGCCAGGCCCAGGGGCAGTGGGCACAAGGGGCAGCCCAGGCAGCTCCATGTCCATGTGAGCAGGAACTTGTTTGGGGTGMGGGTGCCCGAGCCCTGGCMCRRGCTGCCCAGGGAGGCTGCGGAGGCTCCTGCTCTGGAGACCTCCCCAAGCCGCCGGGATGCGCCCGGGTGCCCCGTGCTCTGGGTGTCCCCGTGGAGCAGGGGCTGCACTGGCGGAGCCCTGGAGGTCCCTGCCAGCCTCAACCATCCCGGGGTTCCGTGACCTCAGCCAGGCACTCGCGTGTCCTGGCAGTGCAAAAAAGCAGCTCATTTGCTCCTGCTCTTCCTCATCCTCTTGCCCATATGGGACCTGGCACCCGCTGACTAGGGACAAGCTTGGGGAAGGGTGCCCTCCCCGAGGCCTGCGCAGCGGCACAGTGATTCCGGGCGGGCGTTTCAGGGATCAAGGCGCTCCGCTCCGGGATCTGTGCACAGCTCTACACCCCGCTCTTCCTAACACTACTCACACTTCCAACTCCATAAAACACAGAACATCTCAGGAGAACAAAAGGATCCCTCCTCTACCCTTTAAATTGTATGAACTTTCAAAATTAAAAAAATCTAATTTTGAGTCCTTTTATGTGTTCCAATCCTCTCTCGCGCTCCCTTTTTTTTTTTAATTTTGAACACAGCTGTCTGTTGTACTTTCTCAAATGATGCCAGATGCTGGGTTCATCAACCAAACGCACAAAAACAATGGTTTGAAAGCAATTAGAAGCACCGAGGCTGCACCGAGGCTCATATTAAAATGTGATAACACTGCTCTAGTGGGAATTGCAATGCTGCTGCATTTCTGACATTTCTGTGCTGCCAGCCAGACAGGATGTGCTGGAAGTGGGCCCTGATCGAGGAGGTAACATACTGGAATTTATTCCTGGAGTAAATGAAGGATTAGCTGAGCTGGAACACTCGCAAGGGTTTTTRCGATGGCCCCAGCTCTCATCTTGTTGGAGGGCTGGCAGATCCTTCTGTTTGTGCTCCTGTATATAGTATTGTTGTTTAGAGACAGAGAAGGAGCCCCCAGAACGCAGCGTTATCTGGGGCCAGGAATCTCAGCCAGGAATCCGAGCGGGAATACTTGGATTCCCTGCAGGGTGAGAGGAGCTCCAGCTCCGCCCTGAGGAAAGGCACATCCAGCCACTGTCCTGGGCGTGCAAAAGCACCCGTGAAGGGCTCTCCAGCTGCAGGGGCATTGGACATCACCTGCATTCCCGGGGAAGCGAAGCTCAGAGCCACCACCACAGTCTCCCACATCATTAACAGACATAACAGGAGACGGTTCCAGGCCTGAAAAATTTCCTGCTGACTATTTGTCAGCAATTTGACCATTTGCTGACCCAGACACAAGGATTCGCTTTCAAGTTGGGGTTGATATGGAAGTAACTGGAAGCAACTTGAAGCTTATCTAGACATAGGGATAGTCTCTGCATCCACAACTTGTCTAGCTTGCCCTCAAGGCCACGCAGAGGGCAACTCCTGGCACAAACGCCAACGCGGGCTCCTGCTAGTGCCTCTCCTGGGGCTGTGCCCCGTTCCCCCCCAAGACCCACTCGTGTAACTGAGCATTCAGATGAAGCTCCTTTTGCCCGTTTTGCACAGAAACCACCACCCAACCAGTCCCTCCCGCTCCCCAAACTCATCACAACAGTGAGAAAACACCCTCCTTCCCACTGGCTGAACTCACCTCGGGGCAGAAATTCCAAACGATACCTAAAAGGCAAAAAAACAGACAGGCATAAGAAYATATTATTTTCTTAATGATTTGTTCCAGCCTAATGAATAAGTGACAGATGGGAGAATCATATCAGACGCGCTGCCGGAAAGGGAGCAAACGGTCAACGTGTGTTTTGTGCAGCGCCCTCGGAAGCAGCGCCAGCCCTGCGGATGCTCCCYGGCGAGCCCTGCTACCTGCAGGAACTTCTTCCACTAACCAGATGTCCCCTTCAAGGACTGCAAAGATGTTCTCCCCCATCACRATAGGCCTCCTCCTCAAAAATGAGGCTTCCGTGGCCCGTCCCGCTGGGGTCTTACTCCATCTCTCACCTCTTGCAGCAAGGTCACTGCAGTGGCATCCACAGCACCCGTTTCACAGCGCCCTTTGCAGGGACCAGCTCTGTGTGGAAGCAGTTCACCAAGAGAACAGAAAGCAAACACTTGCACCCAGGTGTCCTGATCGGCTCTAGCACCTTCCTTCTGCATCTGCCCACGCCTTTGCTCACCCCCTTCCTCGTGTGCCAGCTCTCTAGGGCTCTAGCTGCAGAGCTTCCCCCTCCCGCTGGGAACTCACCCCTCATTTAGCAGCCCAGGAAGATACAGAACCCAGATTAAAATTCCCCTGCAGGACCACAGAGATGGAAGYTGATGGGACGCATTGTACCCTACTCCCTACCCATCCCATGACAGCACCCACAAGCCCAGGGTGGCGGACAGGGGATATTTACAGGGGGACAGGCAGGACATGACCAGGAGTCCAGCTCAGGGGACACACGAGCGAGACGCAGACCCAGGAGCGGCTGTATGGAGCAGGAACCCTCCCGACTCCATTCCTCACACTTGGAGCACAGCTTGGGCCAAGATCCAAGTCATTCTAATGAAGAAATAGCACGGGCAAACTTTGGAATCAGATCAAGGATTGGGAATAAGCTACAAAGTGACCCATTCACAAGCAGGATGTAACAGAGGGTTGGGCTAYAGGTATTAATGGCAAGAATCCAGTACGCAAAAAAAATCCAATCAATTTGTTTCCTCATTAAAAGCTTTCATGAAGAAAATGATTTAACACAAACATTCAAGCAACTGACACAGATTAATTAGAAAACAACAACGGAATTCTGATTAAAGGCCTAATATTTGCCTTGCTGGGTTTGGAGCAGCGTGTACAACGAGAGGAAAGTTCCCTGCAAAGGGAGGCACCGGGCAGCAGGGCAGCCGTGTTGGTAGGAAAGGGCCGGAGCTCTGCGCTCGCCGCCGGGAGGCACCTCTGGACCCTGGGATGCTCTCGGTGCCCGTTTTACAGGAGCTCTGCACTAGGGATCCCAACGGGGCGATCTCCAAGGTGCTGGGGCTGGGCCAAGACCAGCGCAAGGGGTTGCCCAGGCGCAGCTTTAACCGCCGGGCCCTCCAGCCCAACACACACCCAGGCTGCAACACTCGTGTCTCCCGAGCGGACAGCGACGGCGAGCCAAGGCCAGAGAAACCGCCCCTCGGTCTGTGAACTTTGTCTCTTGTGCTTGAGAGACTGTCCTAATCTCCCCTGAACATGTTTTAGTGATAACATTTACTGCACCGGGACCAAAATGATTTTCTGTCACTTCTAATTCCAGTTCAATAAAAGTATAAGAGCTTTGTTTCTAACCTCTGTCATTTTTAATACAGTAAAATGGTTTAAAAAATGTAAAATTGAGTTCCATTTCCTATTGGGCCAGCAATCCCATGTTAGCTTCACTCTGATCCAATTTAAGAGGTGGGGGGAAAAGAAATACCAGAAGATGCCTTTTTTTTAAGCATAAGGAAACAGTCAAATTCTAATCTCATCAAATCAAGAGATGTCTTTAATCTCATGCTTTGATCATTTTCACTCTGGAAAGGCTTAAGCAGAGAATGAAAGTTAGTTCAAATTTTAATCAGCAGTTGGGGGGGGAAATGGTTTGTTCTTATGGAAGATGAAAGAGAAATGATCTAATTCCTTCATCTGCTACTGACTGCACGAAAGTCTTGAATAAATTACTTTTCTTGAGTGGGTAGAAGGCACTCACGTACAATAGACAGTACCCAGTTTGTTCACTTAAATGATGAAATTCGTTTCCCCTGCAACGTGGTGCTTTACATAGCCCTAAGGTCGAGGGAACAGCAACTTACCTGGAGGTTTTTACCCTCTACCTGCAGGTGCCTCAACAGCCACTCAGTAAGTTACACGGGCATAATTTTAATAGGCAGCCCCAAYAGTCCTTCCTGCTCCTGCATTACTGAGAAGTGCAATTACTTCAGGGGAAAAAAAAAAAGAAAAAAATCTCATTTTGCTGTGCCAACCTGCATAGCAAATCCAGGCAGTTCAAGTGCACCTATGGCCRGAAGTCACACGTGTGCTTAGGGCAGGCGCAGAGGAAAAGTCTTACCAAATGATTAACCAGCTTCAGCAAGACAGAGTCAAGAAGTGGTTTGAGAATTTTGATGTRATATCTAAAGCAAAGACCTAACCCCAAAATGCCCAATTTCCATTATGACATCAAAGGCCAAGCATTGCACTAACACTCTGACTAGAGACACCCCAGGTATCTCCCCTGGGTGCTGCGCAGGGCAGCACCTCCCCGCTCGCCCCGTCCAGGACACCCTGGGCCRCCCTGGAAGAAGCCACAGACCTGTTCTGCTCAACACCTAAACGGCTCCTCACCATCAGACRTAGCTCTGGGGAGGACATACTCAACAAGCATTTATATTCTTTGCTCCTGGAAACCGTACACATCCCAGCCCTGATTTATCAGTCTCATAAGAGCTGGGTTTGCAGTGGAGATTCCCAATCCAAATTGCAGCTCAGCCCTATAAAGAAGCCTCACCTGCAGCTTCACCTTTATAAAAGTCTGAACCCCGCCTTCTTCCAACTCAGTTGCAGCAGGAACCATAAAGTCAGGTCTCAATCAAGCCTTTGGGATTTTCTTGTCCAATTAAGAACAATAACATCACCACAGATGATATTAGATATTTCAAGGCAGTCTAATTTGATGCACAATATTTGTTGGGTTTTAATGTTGGAGAACAGAAACGAGCCTTTTTTTTTTTCCTTAAATCAATGCTGTACAAGATTTCAAGCAGGAAGAAAAGATGAGAACTGGGGAGCTCACCATTAGSGAGGCCAGTTACAAACCACTTCAAATGCACTTCTCCATCAGCTGGTACAGAAGCAGCAGCTACGCAAATACTCCGGTTACACAATTTCCATCATTTACAGTCCTCAGGTTTCAGATTAACAATGCATTCACAAGGAAATGGATGGGGAAAACAGGGGTAATTTTATCAGCTGCAATGGAAAATGATGCAAATTACTGAAATGGTTCCAACCCAGAAGGCACCAAACTACATTACTGGAAGAGCGAACGGCCACATTCTCCCCAGGTATAAAAACAGGTAGAACATAAGAGCTCAATTGAATTTGTCCCCCTTCCACACGAGGCCATAACATAAATTCCTTCCTCATTTCTTAAAACCAGAAAAAAACCTCCTGCAACTACAGAAGAGATTGGGAACATCCTAACAGATCTGCTACCAGACTTGAGAAAGAAATAATCGCCACGGCCAGTATTAAACTTGACTGCTGCAAACTAAAGGAAAGCTTGGGCTCTCCTACACACACCCAGGCACAGATTTATTGGTGCAGGGTGGTAAAAGGCTTTAGATGGCCATTATCACCAGCTGGTGTAGAGCAACCTAATGTCCCCAAAGCAGGACCGTGTCCCCCTGCCCAGGAGAAGGCCACATCTCCCCCACAAAAAGCACCAAAGGAAAATGAACGTGGAGGAAGCTCATTTATAGATGAGGCAAAGGCAAGTCCAAAGTTTGCGAGCACTCCTGRAATGACAGCGACTCCCGTGCGGTTTTTGCAAGACGCAGCTGCAGCTAATGGCCAAAGCCAGTCTGAACGGGATGCTGCTCAGCAAGATCGTCTCGCCGCTGAGCAAATGAATTGCTGAGGAACAGGGAGAACAGCACTTCGCCTAATTAGGGACAGCGTGGCAGGCTAGGCCAGCCCTCGTGTTAATGGGCTGAGCTCAATTATCTGCCCATCAGCTCACATCCTGAAATTCCTCTTTATCCTGATATTTCATGTTATTCAACATAACGAGTTTAATATTGGTAGGAATTACAGACAGGGCAGTTACACTAATGAAGCAAAATTACCCTGAAATTGCATTTCTTTTCATTCCCAGTCCAAAACTTTAAAATAAGGTTGGAAATTAAACTAATGGATGCAGTTAACACACRTAGAAGTTTATTAAAACGTAGCAAGAAGAGGCCGTTCTAGCCACACTGCTGTCTGTACTTCCTGTCCCAGCTTTCCRGAGCCCTGCTCCAACACCTGGCTGCAGGAGGGATCACGTCTGACCCAACACTTTGGCCCAGGTGCCCTGGGGCTGAAGCCCTGGCTGCAGAGCAGGGCGAGCAGCAGCTTGCTGGTTCGTGCCAGTGCGAGGGAGCACACTGTGCTAGCTCAAGAGCCACACTGCTCCAAGGGGGACCCCCTGCTCCAAGGGGGACCCCCTGCTCCAAGGGGGACCCCCTGCTCCAAGGGGGACCCCCTGCTCCAAGGGGGACCCCCTGCTCCAAGGGGGACCCCCTGCTCCAAGCCCTGGGATGCTTTCATTTTTCTGAATCTCAACATTGCAGCCACATAGCACAGTGCCAGGGATCAGCTTCTGGGTGAAAATGTGGGAGAATCCGGGTGTTTCGCTGCAGGATGAAGCCTTTGGCTTCTCATGGGACTTGGTTTCTCACCAACAGCACAGTAGCGGGCCTGTGAATGCTGCCACAAGCTTCAGCAAGAAAGAGAGGCAGTAAAAAGAGCTTTGGGGCTTTTGATACAGGGGCAGAGAACCTGGGCTTTGCTGGCGCTCCGGCTGGCGGTAGGAATGCCAGGAGGGAGTCCTGCACATTAGCTGCGAGTAGCAGGATGGGGCCTCRGGGTCACATCGTTGTTTCAGTCACAGTGGAGCAAATTAAAGGTAGAGTTTCAGAGTCYATTTTGGATTTCCTGGTGGGTGTACCCAAGAAACTCAACATTAATTAAGCCTCTTTCTCTTCATTTCTGCTTTGATGCAGAGCAGGTCTGCCTTGCACTCCTTCTAGCATTACTACATTTCACCTTAGGGAGGGAAAAAAAATACTAGGAATTTGTTTCCATCATTGCAAACTTGCCTTCCAGCGGGGAGTTTAAATGACTAGCTGACGAAGGAGGAGGAGGAACTATTTATCTCCATATTTTTAAGTAAATCCCACTCTCCCCAACTCACCCCCTGCCTTTGTAGCTGCTGTAGAAACGTCTCAACGCGGAGGTGAGGTCATTTAACAGCAAGACGACTTTTTTTGGTTACTGCTCTTGCCAAAGGACAAGAATGGGCTTGTGTTCCGAAGCGGGTCGTGTATCCGATGCATCCCAGGTGTCCGACATCTGCTGCTCATTCCGCAACAGGCTTTCAGCCACAAGAAACAGCGGCGCCATTCCCAAGGAGCAGCGGGAAGCAAATCCTTGGCACCAGCGGATCCAAAACAGAAGCAAGTGACAACCTTTGGGGTTTCTGGAGAACAAGCCCTGGCACTACAGCCTTCCCCGGCTCTCCCTCAATCCAAACCCACTTCAAAAGGTGTTTCTCTCTTGCAAACACCCTTTTCCCCGCCTTGCAGGGATCTCCATGGACATGGGCAGCTCCGCACGCTACTGGAGATGCACGAGGCCACGAGCAGCACCCGGGAACGGCACCAGAGATGATCACCAAACAACAGGCGGGACAGCACCAACATGCAAGAGATCAGGAGCAGGAACAGCACCCAGGTTCACGGAAAGAAGGGGAAAAAGGGACTTTCACCACCGTGCACATTAAATAAGGAAATGAATTCCAAGAGTAAAACAGCACAGGGACTCATAACTGTACATCCTAACCCAGGAGCGCAGCATGATCGCTACGGCAAGTTGGGAGCAATATATCCTCCCAGGAAGCATGCAGAGCCGTGAAGCCCAGCTGCTTGTTCCCATTGCGGCCAGCAGCTCCGGGTGGCGAGCGTTATGAGCCCACCCGGGCTCTGGGTGGGAAGCGTTATGAGGCCACGGGGAGCGCAGGGATTCAAAGCCCTGAGGGCCGGGTTACAGGAACGGTTCCCGAGGCCGGCTCGGGATAACCCGCCTCGATGGAGCGCTTTCCTTTCGGAGACGCACGTATCTCTCCTCGGGAGTGCGGCGGTTTGCTTGCAGCCGTGAGGGCTGCGCTCGGGGCGCGGGGGCGACGGCGCGAGCGCGGGGCCGGCGCTTCCTGAGCGCCGCTGCCGACGTTTCCTGCGCCCCGGCCGCAAAAGCCACAGGAAGCTCCCYGAAGAGACGGGCCCGCGCCTCGGCCCCGCGGCCCAGCCTGCCTAGGCACTTTCAGATGAAAGAGCAGCCGTTATTACAGTAATCTGCTACCACAAATCACGGTGGGAACGGCCTGGGGCACTATTGCAGACGCCCTTGTTCTCTGCTGCTCTCACCATTCCCAAATGCCCCAARGCAATAAAACACAAGTAGGAAATGCGCTGTGCCTCGCAGGCTCTGCTGCAGGGTCTCGCTTCCCTCCCCGGAGATTCTGGTAATTCTTTTCAATGCATGACAAATTAAGGCTCAACCTCAACCTGAGCACCCAAGAAGAACACATGCATCCCATCCCCTCCTGTTGGGAATAAGCAGGATGAGTATCCCGCTCATCCAAGATGTGTTTGTTCCAAAAGCTTGAMCCCAAACTGTATTCTTAAGCTCCAAGAGCCAAAGCTGAGGACTGTGGGTTACAAAGCACCAAAGAACAARATCCTGTGTGAAACTTAAGTTACTGACACTACCCAGCAGCTCTGGAAAACCCAGACTGATCGAGCAGCTTCTTTCCCCCATGCTCAGCTCCATCAGGACATGGAGAGCACACGCACTTCCAAAAGCAAAATGATTCTGTTGCCAGGTTTGTTAAACACCTCACATACTTACCAAGTTCCGTGCTATTCACTTTTAATTAAAGACAGAGACCAGGAAGATAAAGAACTGTCAAAGCTGCACGATCTCAGTAATGTTGAAAAAAAGACCTCCTTGATGTCTGAATATTTTAGGTTGAGAACTCAGCTTGTTTAATACCTTCCAACAGGTGGGAATTTTTCAGAAACATAGCCCGAAATGGGCAGTCAAGCACTTGGTGCTGCAGGACACTGCTGCACACACCATTCCTCCATTAAAGATGCTGCAGCCCAATTTTTCCAAAAGCTTCTGTCTTCTGCATTCAGCTTGTTCCAATTATTCAGGGCAATCCAGGCTGATAATTACACAGTCCCGAGTTGCTGAGTAAAACTGATGCTTAATTTGCCAGCAGGAAAGATCGATTAAGATACAGCAGGGCATCTTGCAAAGTTCTTCAGTGGGACTGCAGGGAATAGAGGCTGGCTGTGCCCTTCCAGAGGCTAAAACTCTGCTTCCCAGGGACTCGGCTGAAGCTTTATTTACACTGGATGCTTACATCATTCATCCAGCCGGAGTTTTATTGCCAGCTTAACTTCACACGACAACTCGTATCTTAGAAGCAGAGCAATAGCAGTGAGCGCTTTAGATCATATTTCTAGCCAAAACAGTAACACAGAGGAGAGTGAAAGTTGTATTTAAATGGCAGACAGGTTGCTGGAGGTTTATGTTCCTTGAATTTCTCTGAACACAGTGAACATCCTTTGTTTGCTTCACTGAAATCCAAATTATGCAACTCGCAGTTTCATTAGGACTTGTCTGACCTCAACTGTTTTGAGGACAGGAGATTTTGGAACCCAGCTCAGACCTCTAACTCAGGATGTTATCTTCCTTCCTTTCTACTGAAGTAAAGCCCAGGCAATGCAGATTTAGGTTCAGGAACTGGTTCTGAAACACTTTTAGTAACAACCCCGCAGCACAAGTATTCACTCACTTGTCAAATTGTCCACAGGCCTAAGCATCAAGTGATAAATTTCCACTCTCCTCTTCAAATGTTCTCTAGCAAGAGAGAAGCATAGGAGAGGAGCAGATCCATATGCAAGGCACTGTGCTGACACAGACCAAAGCGTAACTCATGTCTCAAAATGCAAAATTTCTAAACAAATTATGACAGATTTGCAGATAACCATACCCAACAGGACAGTGTTAATGGGAGCATATTACAAACCAATGTGCAGTGCACTCACATTCTACCAAGCCCCGAAATCCCCTTAATTTTGGGAACATGGCCAAAGTACCCAAAGGGTTGTAGGGGACACACCCCAAGGTGCAAGTTCTACAGCATTCCCTTGCACAGTAGCACAGACAACACAAACCTGGCTTTGACTTGCTGGAAGCCGAAGAGAATTGCATCCCTCTGCTCCCGTGCTTTCGCACTCAGGTTCTCATTCTGCAGCCCATCCACCAGGTAACTCTCAGCATCTGGGAAGAAAAGAGAGTTACAAGCTAAGACTACCAGAARGACATCAGTTCTCAGCTGAGAAACAGACCTGTGCACAAGCTGGGAAATTCTGGGAGCGCAGGACCCGGCAGCCTGGGCTAGAGGTGGAAGTCAGCCTGAAGACCTCCCTTGATGAAAGGAAGCACTGAAAGAGTAGAGAAGATTCGTGGCAGGTGAGCCCTTCTGGGACTCATAGGAGGATCCAGAACACTGAAGTGCCAGGGCAGGATATCGACCAACACTTCAAGCAAACAAAACCTGTTGTTYTCATCTTCTGTGTAACCAGGGCCGTCTCTGAAGAGGGCAAGTGCGAACAACAGGTTGGTTGAGCCCAAGCCAACATGTACTTGTACCACAGCATGTGCTCCCCTCCAGGGTTATTGCTGAAATACAACCTCCTGGGCTTGCTTGGAGACAGCCAGGCAAGAGAAAGCAGGAAAGCCTCATTCCCTCTCTAATCAGACCAGAGTTTTAATGCAGATTTACTCCTATGCAAAATAATAATGTTCTTGCTTTAGACAAGGTTACAACTCACCTGGAAGMCACATCTGTATGCAAAAATTTAACCTGACCTGCAAGATAAAGGGATTAAGTGTCTATTTGCATAAATCTTTGTTATTTGCAAGAAATCTTTTAAAAATTGCTCGGAAATAAAACAGTTGCAGTCTCACCAGCCCTGTATGGGGCAGCACCATACCCTACATGGCAGGGGCATTACTTCTGGTTTCCTCYAGCAAAGCCTGGCTTCAGACTCACAGCACTGCACGTCTCCAAGCCTCTAACCTTTACCACATGCCCCATACGGTGCCATTAATGACAGYTTAATGTCCTGCCTGCAAGGCTCCTGGTTCCTTACGCTCCACCTGCAATCACATCTCAAGATCAAAGTGGCCCGGGAGGAACAGCCACCTCTGCCTACCAGGAGTCAGGAGTCCTCGTTTCCTGGTGCCACCTGCCTGCGCCGCGCTCCAGGACAGCTTGTGGCTATAAAAGCTCTCCAAAGCCAAGAGCACGAGCAAGGGCAGCGCAAGTGGCACGCCAAGGCAATTAGGCACCAGGAGGGAGCGCTTGGGAAGGAGGAGCAAATCCTGTCCAGAGCACTCGGGTTTGTAATGGTCCTTCCCTTGGTTTCGGCTGCCTCTGCTACAGCTGCTCCTTCACAGATGAGAAGCAGAGGCTGAAGCCCGAATACAGCAGAGACATGCAAGGCTCCTGGCACAACGTGCCCGGCCTGGGCACGCGCCGTTGCCCAGCTCAGCTCGTGGGCAATAACGACACGGCAACTGCTGCTCTCAAAGCRGCACCGACATCCAGCCGCGAGCTGGGGGCTCCAGGAGCACAGAGGTGTCAGGCCCAAATGCTTATTAATATCAAGTTCACTGCTGGCAATTTAGCCCTAAGTAGCTTGCCAAGGATGATGCAGAAACTTGCAGCACAGCAGCTGAGTGAAGCCCTTTAAATCCCAGGCCAATCTTCTAATCCTGAGGCTAAATTTMATTTCCAGTACACAGCTCTGCATTTCTGCAATGGTAAATCCAAGATACAGTGCTTGCTTCCAACAGGCCTAACAATACTGGGCTCAAAACACTTACAAATTACATATATCTATGTACTGCATTTTCTAAACACAAAAGATGCATCTTGCTCCAAGGAGCTTTCAAAACAGAYGGCAGCTAAGGGGACAATTTATTATATACAAGCCAGCTTAAAAACAGCAAACCAAAACCAGGTCAGCTAGAAGGCCTATGTGCAGATAGCATTTCTTGTGAAAAAAAGGGGGGAAAAAAAACAGCCTCCCAAACTTGTATAAATACCAGCTGCTTCCCTCTCATTTTTAAGTGCAGATTAGCTCCACGAGTACATGATTAGCTCTAATATAGTATTTACTTACTGGGATGTCAGCACAGATCTGCTGCTGGATAAGTTATCATAAAGCTCCAGTCACTTTGCAAGGCAGGCAGGGCCCTTTCAGAGCCAGGCACTGTGTTTATAGCACCAGGAAATGAAAAAGAAAGCCTAACCATAACCCCTCAAAGTGGATCAGGAAGAGCAATATGTAAGCAGCTCCAGAGTAAATCACCCTAATGTTAGTTTTACTGCTTGTCTGTAACATTATATTCTTGATGTTTATGGATTGCTCTCTGTGATCCACTCTGAAAGTTTACAGGACTCTCCTTTTCGTTTCCTGCAGCTAAAAAGGTAAGAAAAAAATATATAGTTCAGATTTCATCAAGTGTTTCAGGAGAGTTTCTAGAGGCAGTTGCAGTCATCCACTTTAATCCTGTGGGAGATGCACAGCATCATAAATAAATATGTCACAAGCGCTGAAGTCCAGGTAGTAAATAACCTTTTAATGCCAGCATTAAATTCTAGGAGTTAATCAGCACTCAGTGAGCAGGGCTGAAGGGTATTAAAATACCACACGTATTTTCTCCATGCACATTCATGTTTCTGCCCTTTTCCTGCTTCTCTGCCGTCAGAAGGCCAACAAAAAGCCCTACTCCTCTTACAGAGAGGAGCGAGTCCCAGCGAAGGGCCAGGTTTTAGCTGTGCAAGTTAATGCCGAGCCAGCCCGTCTCCTCCAACRCTAATCTGCTGCCTCACACGCTCCCTCCTGCTGTTAGTCTCCCAGCTGGCTGCAAAACATTAAGGGGGAGTTTAGAGCAGCTATTGCAGCGTGCAAAGCTGGGGCTGGCTGGGAAAGGCGCACACGAGAAGGGTATCGGATACCTTGGGCTTCCGCGCAATTGCTTTAGTGTCGCCAGGACGGCTCCCAAGACAGCGCGGAGTTTGAAAAGCCTGTTATATCACCTCTCGTCTCGCTTGGCAGAGTAAATGCTGTGAGCTAGCACACAGCTTCTTGACTTTGCTGCAAGCTCATTTCAGAGAGGATGATTTAAACGGGAGCTAAGGTTTGAGATAAGTCTTGCCACTTCAGTGGAAATGAGTCAGAGAACRGCCTGGGACCTGCAGCCGCCTCCATCCATCCTCCTGCAGGGGAGGGAAGGGGACATCGTGTCCCAAASCAGATGCAGGAGCCAAAACCTCCTTCAAGTCTCAACCCCGCATCGCATTTTACACGCTGCAGACGGAGCTATTTCCTTGCCTTGCCTGCTTGCAGCAAACAGCGTTTTGCTGTTCCTAAAACACCACGAAGGCTGCTTGGCTGGAAGTGAGCAGCTGCCAGCTTTGTTGTGCTCCGCAGGTGCGGGCGGCCTCCCCGGGCAGCACCTGCTGCGGCCTGCGCTGCCCAAGCGGCAGCGGGAACAGCCCTGCGGAGCCTGCAGCTGGCACGGGGAGGGCACGAGGCAGGGCCGCCCGGGAGCAGCCACTGCCACACGGCCTTGGCTGCCACCGAAGGGCAGGAGAAGCCCTGGGCTGAGCAGGGACCTGGCAGGGTAGGCTTAGAACCCTTGTTTCAGTCTTCAGAAGAAGTGTCCATATATATATGTGTGTGTGTGTGTATATATATATACATAATGTGTGTGTATATATATACACACACATCCTCAAAGTAATTTTTAAAAGAACCACATGACCCAAAAGCGAAACCTTGTGCAATTAACTGCATAGCTTTGGCGAGAACGCAGAGCGCTTACTTGCAACACAAAGCTTAAAGCACTCGGAAAAAGGCAATAGCTATTTATAAGCACTGTGGGGTTGCTGCAGAGAGAGGGTCACACAGAGCACGTCGGCCTTCAGCCACCRAAGCCCAGGGATGTCAGGGTGACGAGTGCTGCCGGGGGGCCCTTCCCTCACTGTTCCTGTGCGCCTTGTGCAGGGTCCTGCAGCACAAGCCCGCCTTGAATCTGCTGAAAGACATGTTATTGTCTTCCCACTTGTGATTTTTATTTCAAATAAAAGAATTGCAGTTAGCAAACAGGGAAATAGCTTAAGCTCCTTCATTTCTAGTCAACAAAGCTAAGAGACTCCTTAACCACTCGGAAGGCCTCAAGACTCTGTAGACTGTTAAGACGCAACAAGATTGATACAGAGGTACGTGACACACAATTAATCTCCATTCATAGCCTGCTATACTTGTCAGCAAACAAAGGCTGTGCTTTAGAAGGAGATCTGAAGCCTTCAATTAAAAGCAGTCAGCTAACAAGAAAATAATCTAAGTTAAAGGAAGGTGGCAGGTGCAGAAATGAGTTGTTTACAGAAGTGTCAGCACTGAACAATAAAGTGCCGCACATCAAAAATGTGAAAGGGTGAACTTCACTGGAGCCCCAACGATTAAAAAACAGAGGGGAAAGTTTACACCTGCATGTGGGGGAAGACCCGAGGCGTTTGGAAGGGAGCTTTGACGGTCTTGGAGGCCGCACTTGTGCTCGACCCTCCCAAYGCCCAGGACCCTGCAGCACGACGGGCCCGCGTGGGGCAGGGGCTGCCCGCAGCAAGGGGCCTCCTGCCCGCGAGGCCGGAGCAGGAGGAAGCCGGCACGCGACCCAGCRTGAGCATGGAGGGCAAGACGGGGCTGAGGAGAGGGGCTCTCGGCAGCTTCCCCTTTCATTCGTGGGAATCCTTCCCGCAATGAAGCATCAAGTGGTCATTCAGTCACTGCAGAACGGGAACTCGGGGCTCTAGCAGCTTTTAAACTTGGCTATTTAAGAAATTAATACAGTAATGCACCAGACGGACTGCTAATGCAAGAAGAGCCGCAAAGCTGCRGGCTGAGAGCATCCCGTGGAGGGCCCAGGGTTACCACGGCACACAAGCTTCTTCCACCCTTTGTACCAGCTCCCTTGTCACCCTGCAGTGACACCGAGCCATGGAACCACTCAACACCCTACCCGAGAGGTGGGACAGTGCCTGGCCATGCCCCCTGCACCACCAGTCACACACGGGCTTTGGGACAGCCACTGAGCCGCTTTACCCCTCTGGCAACACAAGGACAATCCCAAGAGCACTAGGACAGGCAGCTCCATGGGCAGGGCAGAAACGGGACCATCTGAGCACCCAACACCACCAGCCTCAGAGAGAAGAGCTCCAGAGTCTCCCCACTCCACTCTTAAATCTCTTCCTCTGCAACTGCAGCAGGTTTTCCCCAGCTAAGCAGACAGGAAACAAGGACGGAGCTGTGGTTACCTTCCAGGAGTCTCTGGATCTCCTCCGGGATCATGCTCCCGGCCACCGGCTCTCCCTGGATTCCACCCTGCTGCTGCTCCGTAGCCCTGTCCCCAGCAGGGCTGAGCGAGGGAGGAAGCGCAGGGGCAGCCGTGCCCAGGGAAGGGAGGAGGAACCAGGGCCCCACTGCCTCCTCCGCAGCATCCCCAGCCCTCCTGCAACGGGTCGAGGCGCTGAAGCACCCGGAACACGCCAGAACCAGCGCCCCAAGACCTCCCCAGGAGGGGAAAAACTGCAGCCACCAACCTGCAGAAGCACCTGAAACCACCCCCAGAGCAGCACAGCTGAAAGGAGGCTGCCTGCATTAGCATTTAAATCAGGTGGCACTTGGCATGTTATTTCCTTCATTATCTCACAATTTGGTGCACCTGCTGGCAGAGGAGACCCAGGAGCTCTGTGTGGATGTGTGGCCATTTATTTAACCTCTGATGCCTGTTCCCAGCACAAGATGTGTTGAGGGCTGGACCTGGTCCAGGCACAGGCTGGTTCCTTCCTCCAATGTGCAGGGGAAGAGAACGGCTCTTCTGCAATAAACCTCCTCTTCCTATGCAGGAGACAAGCTGGACTGTAATGACCGTTCATATTTCTGTGTCTTGCCCGGCAGAGGAACGGGCTTGCACACTTTAACTTGCTTTATGACAGGCAATAAATGCAAACTGCAGTCTACAAAACAAAAATGGCATCGCATTAGATTAACACCCAAGCTTACATCTGCTCCTCTCCTGTATAAATGAGTTAGAATGGGCTGACCTGACTATGAGAATATCACAATTGTTTTTGTCCTCACATTCCCAGATTTTAGGGTCAATACTGACAAAATCAAGACAGTCATCCTTAGCCGACACTCAGCAACGATTCCAAGGACTAACGAGAGGTTTCCCAAGGATTAAGTGTTCGTAATCCAGCCCTTACTTTTCACAATATCCTGGTATCCTTCAGTACTATCAACCAAATATTTATTATTACAGCACATAAATAATGTCATTTGCCGCTTTTACTTTTCTGAAATGTTATGCCTGACATATGATTTTTGAATTGTCATTTCCCAACATAGCAAATGTTGGGGACAGCAAAAAAAAGGAAGCAATCAGGCTCTGTTGACCACAGACACAAAACCACAGAGCTTCACTAAAATTAGTGCTTGCTGCTSTCACCAGGGGCATGACAGAGGCTCCTAACAGTGCAGAAGCAGGGCTGAAACTGGGACATCTCTGTGTACTAAGGTGTGTGACAGTGTCACGAACACTCTGAACGGTCAGAGAAGGAGACCCCTTAAAACCACCTCTCTTGCTAGAGATTCTCCAACAAATTATATTTTTTGTTCTCACCCCTTTCATTTCTGAGGGTGGCAACAGGTTACACATTTAGCTGAGAGGTCACTGGGAGGGATCGGGGAGGCTGGCGGGGCCTGGCGGGTTCCGCCGCAGCGCTGTCCTGCAGCACCAGCCTCCCGAGGCTGCGCGAGCGAGGCTGCCTCCTCGCACGCTAAAGGCCCCACCTTAATCATTTGAGGCCCCAAGTTCAGCAGACGAGCTCCCTCCWAATGCCATCCTGTTAAATGGACAAATTCCTTTGAAGGCTCGTCTTGCCTGGAAATCCAATTTCTCGGGAAGCCAGATGCGATTGGGGGTAGCTATGGAAACAGAGGCAGGCAGCGCTCGAGGAGCTGCGCCACACGAGGCACACGAGAGCGTTCGAGCCCCTTGCTGCCCCTCGGAAATGCCAGGGGCTGCAACGAGACGGGTGCCCGTCGTGGCTGCTCCGTGCGCCGGGTACCAGAGCAGCCAGGGGTCCCGTCACCGCCTGATGACGGCAGCCCCCAAGGCAACGCCGCCCGTGCAGGGCGATGCTGCCCCCTCGCAGCCCCGCCAGCACTTCAGCATCGCCGCTTTCCCCTCTGCGCCGCTCCCAAAGGTTAACAGCAAAAGGGTAACAAGGTTAAACCACAAAGCGCTGCCTGATAACGGCCCTTTCAAGCAGCTGCACTGAAATTAATCTGAAACTTCTAGTAATTAGATAAGATAAGGATGTGTGCATGCTCGTGCGGGCACACGCTGACCCTGGGACACCCGTTCTTAGAGGAGGGGGAGGATCGTAGAGTTCGTTAAACTGGATCAGATTATTTGTTCATTTAGTCTGCCGCTTTGAAAGTGCATTTCCAGCCCCGTTAATTCATCTTGTTCAACGTCCTTGCATAGWGCACTGACTTGCCCTTTTGTCCTACCTTCCTGGTCCTGCGACTCCTGCCAATTCAGARCAGACTCTAATTCCTGCTTTTCCACAGCAGATGCCAGTCCATCCATTTCTGCATCAGCTCCTACCATTCCAGGTCAAATTGTTGGGCCACTGGGTGTGATTTGCTGCCTCTGACAGTGACCAACAGCTCAGAAAAAAAGAAGGCAACTCTCCAATCTGGTAATGCACCTGACTGCTTGAATAATGTCTCTAGGTTTGCTAATCAGCGATGCCATGCTAATGCTCTGCTATAATCCCAGAGTTTACATGCTCGTGTCATTCTCATTGCCCAACAGCTCATGTATCTTTGCTACGACTAAGTCATTCACTTAGAGGTTGGTTTCAACCCTTGCAAAACCTCTTTCATTTTTTAAAGCTAAGTGGTCTTCCCTTGTCCTTCTGATTTGATTTTGCACCTCTGCCTCCTAAGGGTGTCCAGGTTACTGTTCATCAATTTCTGAAGCCAAAAAGAAACGAAAATAGTGTCAGCAGCTCTGAGTTATGGTAAACAGAGCTGGTCCCTAAGCAAAATTAAATGACTGGACCTTGCTCCTGGTTTAGACTGCCAAGCTCTGGATTCATTTACCTTTTTAGACATCCTGGATTTTATCCGTTGTTAAGGCTTCTCGGAAGCAAGCAGGTGTGTTGAGATATATTAGAGATATAGTAGAGGCTGGAGCTGTTTTTTGTCATGCCAACCCATCCATTTCAGTGCTGAAAAGGAAATGTTCCACTAGCACATGGAACAAAAGCTGAAGGAGCTTACAGTCTGACCAGACAAGGTGAAGCATAGAAGAGAAAGAGAGGAGAACTTCCCTATGGAAGATCCCAGGAAAACACCCAGGTTGCTGGGACCACACTGTGTGTCAGGCAGAGGCACAAGGCCAGGCCTTGGGCCAGGGCCTAGACTCGTCTCCCGTCCTCTCARTGATGCTCCTGTGTCACCCGGTGGTGCTGGCACCTGGCAAAGATGTTCTTTGTCACGAGGAGGCATCTCCCAGCAGCAAGTTCTCAGGATGTTTTTGCTGTTGAAAGCTGGATGTGGAGGGTGGACAATGTCATTGGCATCATGGGCAGGACACGGCGTTGGGGCAGCGTTTTGGGGCCTCCTGCAAACGCTGCCCAGCAGGAGGAAGGGGCTCTGCAAAGGGAGGGCTCTCAAAGACGCTCACCCAGAAAGGAGCAGGGCGCCCAGCTCTTGTGGAGGCTGCTGCTCCTCAGGCTGACGGATGAGCTTTAGTTTAATGCAAAGGTGATATTGATCCCTTGCTGCTGTGCTGCAATGTGTGATGGAGCTGCCCTCTGCCCTGTAGATGTGTTGTAGCACCTCTTCTCTTTCTCCCAGTCCTCATCAAACTACTTTAATGACTCTTTTATTGACAATGCTGAGTCTTAATGAGGAGGACTGCCACACACTTCATTAAGGCTGCAGAGGGGACACTTCCTATAAAGAGCCAGGACCGAGGGCTGCCACGAAGGCTGAGGGAGGACCCAGGCTTGCGCTGCGGGGTGGATATGCAGAAAGAGCAGAGACTCGGGGCAAAAATCCACATGGACTGAGAAGCAGAGGACTGGGGAAGCAGAGACCAGCTCTAGAGAAGGGTCCTGGTGGACASAGAGAACACAGCACGAGAGTTTCTTCAGTGTTTGAGTTCAAGATAAAGATGAAGGATTTCAAAATGTTGGGTCATTAATGGCTAAATTCAACCTTGCTTACATCTCGCTGGGAAAAACAGGTCTGTGTGGCTGATGGCAGCCCTTGGACTGCGGTGATTCGAAAGAGATTCAGATAGGATGCTCTAATGTGGGCCTCCACACACGTCAATAAATCTCCATCCATCACACAGTTCTACTTCAATTATTGAGCCAATTTCCAGACACTTTTATGATATATTGTTTGATTTTATTAACTGGAGTGAAGGTTTAAACTCACTGAATTCCCATAGTAATCTTGCCCTGTAACCCTACCTAGCTTATCAAATCTTGCTTAATGAAATGCAGGCATCTGTCTTAATGGCTTTCAAACTATGCTATGTAGACTGACCCAGATGTTAGTTCATAAATAGGAATATTTGGAAGTGTTAAACAGGGTAGCTGGAGACAAAGGTAGGTCCCTGGAGTGATCTTTTCTCTTATGAAGAAATCAGTGGTATGAGAGAAATTACTATAAATCTCTGTGATGAAAAATGAGAGCCAGAGGCATGGGGAGTGGAAGCTGAGCACTGCAACCAGCACTGCAATAGATTTGGTCAAGAATGATTTCCTGAAGAAATGTTTTGGTAGCAATTTAAAATTCAAACTAGTTTTGCGTAAGACCGAAATACTAATCCGTGGTATTTTTCCAGGGATTGCGGTGGTTCTGCTTCATTGAAGCAGTAATTTGCGCATTTCAGACTTGCTGAAATGGGATCCTTAGTGAGGCTGCTTCTCCAGGGTTACTCAATGGTCCCTGTCTTGGCAAGGAGGCTGCATCCTCAAGGGCTACAGCTGGGAGAAGCAGCCGAGGGACAGAGAGGGGTGGGTGAGGCCGTAAATTATTAGGAATAGGAACCATTGGGATTCTGTAATACGTAGTAACATTTGCAAGTTAAAATACGTTCCATTCCAGGACATGGAGGGTATTTAATTGTTAAAGAAAAAAAAATCTACAAGGGAAAAAATATTTTCTGAGGAAAAAAAAACCAAAATAAACAAAACATTAAAAAATACATTACATTAATTCCATTAAAATAGAAGCGGAGGGGAAAAAGCCAGTGTTGGAAGCAGACCTGCAGTGCGATGGACGTGACACCAGGG